TTTTTTTTCCTTTTCTTTCTCGTTGAAAGATGATTCTTTCAAGGGCGGCGGCCCTTGTATACACTGTATCAATAATTTGAAACGATTAACTCGCGCCCATGAAATTTTTGTAAATCCGCCTCACGTGAATGTCCTTAGCCGCGTCGTAGTCTACCACGCTTTCCGTCATACAGGAACTCGCTGTACGCCTCCCACCCCCAAAGTCGTCATGTGAGAGCCACGATCATCTTCGCCCTTCTTCGAGCATGTTCGCGCTTGCTGCGTAGCTTCGTGTTCTGTTTTCGGTCGTCCCTCCAAAGGAAAGATGACATTTTTTCTATTTTATATTTTCTCATGAGCATAATATCTGAGTTAGCATAGTAAGCTCGTTTTGTACAAGGCAATAAAGCAAGATTTTAAACAAGCAGCATTCATATTAATTCCTATAGTACACCACGCATTATAAGCCATTTGGCATTTGGAAAGAGAAAAAGCGCGTTTCACGTAACGCAAGGGGCAACAAGCCTCATCCCATAAACAATATCTCTTGAACGAATCGTTTGTGAACATCGTCCAGAGAAAAATTTTCGTTTGTTTGAGGTCTTGAATTTTAAGTTTGGCGGTTTAACCCGGAAACACCCTGTATACATATACAACAGGGTGTCCCATTTTAATTGACACCTCGGCCATCTCGAATATCTCTTGAACACTGCATTTCAATGCAGTGAAAAATGCTTGATACAAAAATTTTGTGATTTCGAGGGAGATATAAGATGGCACCATTGGCTTGACTTTAGGTGGCGTTGTCAAGGCAAGGTAAGTTTAGAAGAGGAGGAGGAGGATGCTTCGATGGTGATGGCAACACACGGAGTGATCGCGGGGTCTGCGGACTTGTATCGCGAGTGGAGATATTTTTGTCTCTTGGTAAGGATATAGATTTGAGCGGAATCCCCATGGCCGGGGATGTACTCCGCCTTCGAGGCGGTAGTGACGACCCTCCTGCGAGCCCCCATCGGGGAAGGAATATTATGCTGACGCAGAAATGAGGGATGAACCTGGGACAAACCTCGAGGCTGCGGTGGCCATAACATCTGGCCCGAGCGATGGGGCGGGATATACTAAGCCCTCCCCCAAGAGGTTTAAAGAATGCCTTCCCCAGGGGCTCACAGTCGGATCTCTTTGATGCGTCGGGAATCCACGAAGTCCCTCTGCTCCTTCGCCTCCTCTAAGGAAAGACGGAGGAGACGTTGGTAATATCGCACGAAAAGGGCAGTTGGGCGGGACCACTGCCGCTTAGCGTTTCAGTGAAGAGAATCCGGCCTAGTAGGCCGACGAAAGACCCCTCGCATGAGAGCCAGTCATCGAGGCCAAGTGGGAAAAGGCCAATCAGGCCTTGCGCCTGATCTAAACCGCGGCTTTCATCGCGGAGCCCTCTCGTTCAAGAGGAACGTGAGGAGGGTATGTGAGGCCAAAGACCTCTCAATAGACCTCGATATGCAGCCATCCGAGGCAGTGGCCGGCATGGCCAACCAAATCATCGAATTGCTGGCAAAGTCGATTGAGAGATCTAAAAGCATAAAGAATGAAATTACGAACCACATGTGGGGGGTGGTAGAGGCGTGTGAATCAAACATTTGTGAGATCAAATCGAATCGAATCGAATCTGAAATCTACGCCCAATCGAATTGAATCGGATTCTTTTGATTCGAAAACGAATCGAGTTCAAATCAAATTTTCATATACTGACAGTTAATTGTTGTGCTATATTTGTACCTTTATGTCAGTTTCATTGGCTTAAACAAAATGAATAGTATTTTAAAAAATGAATAACAAATTTTCTTCGCAATGTAAGCCAATAAGCGTACGCGCTTGCACGAAGATTAATAAGCGCTGATACAAGATTGGTCGCAGGAGATATAGGAAAGACAGAGAGAGTTGCATAAATGAAGCAAATAAAATAGACGAGTGATTCGAAATTTCGAACTATTCGGTTTCGAATCTCTCACATTCGAAAACGGATCGAATCGAATCCATTGCGATACGATTCGAATTTGAAGTAATTCGTACACCTCTAGGGGGCGGTGACTAAACTCACCGCCGCCTGCGATGTGCTGAGGAGACGCGCCTCTGCCGCCCCCTCGCGAAATTAGCCTTGAGGAGTTCCACATTAGTGAGCTGAAAGCGAAGCGGGCAGTAACGGAGGCCCTGATCCTCGAGGTGAAAGGTTCCGACGGCGGCGCCTTAGCCGACGCCCTTGCCTCGAGGATGAAGGAGGTCCTGAGGGACAAAGAGGAAGTCAGAGTGTTGAGGCTCATGAAGAAAGCGAAACTCCGCGTCGTGAGATCCCCCCCCCCATAATGTCGTCCTGCCATCGGGCATGCTCCCAGGTGGGCGAATGCCCGATGGAAGACTCCTGAGGGAGATGACCGGCGTATTTAATGCCTCCATGCCCAGGAGTTGCTTCAGGCCACGTTGGTCCGCGTACTGGTGGTCGCCGGAGATCGCCGACCTAAGAAGATCGGCAGCTCCGGATACGGTCTTAGCGGCGATCCCCCCGCGGATCTCTTGGCGTCGGGATTCGCCAAAAGTTATTGGTGGGTCAAGGCGGCCCGCATGCGGGGGCAACACTCCCTCGCGAGCCGTGGACATGGCTGCGGGTCTCTGATGCCTGGCGCGAAAAGTTAACGGACCCGCAGTACGCCGAGAACCGGATCGTATAGGCCATTCGCCCCTGTCTGCTCTAATGGGTGGACAGGGCTGGAGAGGGTTGTCCTGTCGGATCACGCAGATACTCACCGGACATGAATGTTTTGGTGAGTATCTGCATCGGTAAGGAGTCGATCGCGCAGTGTACCACTGTGCTGCCGACCAGGATACCGCGCAACACACTCTCGAAGAGTGTTCCGCGTGGGACGCGGAACACGGTGCTCTAGTCTTGTGATGGGCAAGGACCTCTCGCTGTCGGTGTTGGTACACGTTATACTGGACAGCGAGAGGTCGTAGACGACCATTTCCTTTTGTGAGAGCATTATGCTCTGAAAGGAGGAGGCGGAATGAGAAAGAGAAAGGACAAGGCCCGCATACGGAAGTGGGGCAGGGCGTCTGCGCGGCAGTGCCCGGCGGCCAAGGGCCGCTACATCTGCAGGAGCAGTCCTCCCCCCACCAGGGCCCGAGCGGTTGCATCATCGCGGCCTCAGCGGCGGTGATGTTCGCCGCGGGTTGCTGGAAGGCGAGGCCAGGCCCTCCATTAGCGACCCACTGACTCGGGTGAGCAGAAGAGACGACTGGCTCCTCTCCGGTTAAGGAGAGGCCAGTCGTCATCGGAGCGATGAGCCCGGTGGGTGACGGTTACGATAACAATCACCCGCCGGGTGAGGGGATCAGGGACCGAGCGGAAACTCGACTCCTGACTCGGCCGAGCAGAGTATACCCCCTCCCCTCATAACACCGAGAGAGGCGAGACGAAGGGGTTGGTGTCCCTCCTCGCCTGGTCGGAAGACAGTCCATTGGGCTCCGGTGATCGGAATCAATGTGGTCACCGCGGGACAGAGTCAACCGATGAAATCGATGGGCCTGGGAGCATGCTGCACACGTACCCAGGACGCCCCCAACAGACCAATGAAGGACACTGGCGGGGGTTTTGGTACAGGCCCCATATAGGTTCCCTTTCCGCGAGCCGAGAGTATACGTAGGCATGTCCTCCGCCTTACCAAAAAAAAGGTAGGACAAGGTCACGTTAAATTTTTTAAATAGAACCTCTATTTTTCATTACATATTCTCATAACTTACCTCGAGAGCTTTTCAAAACACAATAATAAAGTGTTCTTTTATTAAGTACTTTCCGAATATGTCATATAAAGTGATCAACCGCCCAAATTGAAAGAGGCAGTCCAAATTTTATGTCTTCATCACTTTACAACGTGTTCCAAATTTTGTCTCAAATTAGGAACACGGTTATGAATTATCCTTCTTTTAAGTGTGAAAGTAATAAGTGCGAAATATAATTTTTAATGTGATTTTTTATTTAAAAGGTAAATGTTTATTTTACACAGCCCGCCACAAACGACTTCTTACTATCCTTGATGTTGATCTTGACTTTCAAGGAGGTTAAGATCAATGATTTTTTCCATCGCTCATTATTCATTAAAAAGTTATGAACAAAACAATTTTTATAAATAGCACACAATTTTTAAACATAAAGTACATATTTCAGCAGTATTTTCCCTTGACAGAGGTAGGTGAAAGTCATGCTCTCCCAAGCAGGGGAAAGATGAGGTGGGATCGCTTCAGGTGGATGTCGTGCTCTCCTAAGTAGGGGGGGGGG